TAGGGTCCTTGCACTGGTGTGCTCGGACCCTAAAAACAACCTCTTCAACATAAGACTATGTTACCATGTTAACATATGCTCACGTTAACAAGATAAGAAACTTTAATTTTGCCAAAAGTGATCTTAAATGTCCTCTTGTCAGTTTATATTGGCTTTAATGACACAAATTACCAAGCAAATGTGCAATTAATAAAATTACAAAAACAAACAACTCAGTAGGCCTTTTGGGCTCTATGTGTAATTGCCAAGTTTGCCCAGTTTCACCTCGGGATTATGGTGGTTTCACACGAAGCCTATTACGTTGACTAGCAGAAGATAAAAACATGAAAAACAAAATGACTAACTTTAGATTTAGAACCTGTGAACAACAACAACACAGCCTGAACTTCATGACTGATTTACACACAATGAGCCACAACAATACAACCACTGACAGGTCGAGTGAGTATCAATGATCATATTGTTCCAAGGCCGTATTCTGCTGGGAAACCGTGGGTCCTAGCGTTCACATAGATGTAACTGTGACATGTACCAGCATTCTGAACATTGTTGCAGACCGAGTACACAAACACTACGATGGCCTGAAGGCTGATACGTCCCATCACACTGTAAAAACTGTTAAGGAACGCCAGCCATCGACTTGGCCTCCAAACCTTCAAGGTCCTCATCCCATGAAGCATCCGTGGCATTTGTCAGAACAAGCTTAATCCATGGAGGTTCCACCCTGCAACCCAAAATCCTCTGCCAACGTCCCACCCAAGGGACACCTCCAGAGGTCCAGTGTTCATGCCTCAACAGATCATAGCCGTCTGACTGGCACAAAGGGATCCTGCACAACATCAGGCAGGTGGTTTTAATGTTGGAGCTGATCAAACTGAAAGCCAACATGTCAGACAATCCCACAAACAAACAAACCACCACTGAGCAGATTCAGTCTTTTAGTTTGAAATGAAGCACAGAAACAACGCTTTGTTTTCAATTCGAGCTGTTTATTGTAAAAGTCGATCTACGGTTTGTAGAGTTTTTAGTACCTCTAGAAGCACAGACGCTCACAGACATCCGTTGGTTAACACAGTGATGAGACATGTCATATTTACACATTTGGTCACAATCCCATGCAGGACATCGTCCCTTTCTTTAACATTATCCATCAAACACTAAATACATTATAAAAAATACAAATAAAAACACTATTTAAATAAATTTAGTATAAATATTTTTAGAATATTTTAAAATTCTTCGACATTACAAACAAATTATTTCCACCTTATTTCATGACGGAGTGAGCAGTGAGTTGGTCCTGTTTGGTTAAACTGTAAATGATGCTGGTCGTTAATGTAAATCGAGGGAATGTGAGACTTCTGAAACAATAAATATGATAATTTAACTTTACAATAAGATGCTGTTTCACTGAAACACAAGTCAGTCGGACACAGTACAGTGCTGCTTTAAAAAGACACAACTTATCTGTACAGCTCAAAAAAAATGTAAACGTAGCTGATTGAGGAATGTGTACAAAAGTGGACCAAACTCCAGAAGCGAAGGACTTAAAGTAACAGTCTGGAGGAACTTTTAAAAAAAACATTTTGTTAAGAAACTAGTTCATCAAGCATGAATTCCAGCCTGAAGACTCTACACCTTTTTTTTTTAGCGTTCTACCAAGCATGTTAAAAATCCTGACCAGCTGACCCAGGACCAGCTACAGCAGAAAGGATCGCCAGCGTCTTCAGAAGGAGTTGTTGTTGTTGTGCTCCAGGCGAGCCACCATGGTGGACACCAGCTTCTCCAGCTGCTCGGCCCTCTGCCGGCCCGTCTCCAGGACTTCCTCGTGGTTGGCCTTCTCCTCGCTGTCGTAGTCCATCACTGCCTGGTTGGAGATCAGAGACATGGCGAAGCAGCGCATCCCGGCGTGGCGGGCGACGATCACCTCGTGAACCGTACTCATGCCTGCATGGAAGACGCAGAAAAGGTAAGTTATGGGACTACATTATTCACATGGTCGTCTTCATTATAGCATGAAATACAGCAGCTGGGGAAGGTCTGGTTAATAAATCAAGGTTGGTCACCTGTCCTCAGATTGTATTTGGTATTGTTTGTACTGAGACAGGTGTTTCAAGGTGTATTAGTCTGTTTTAGGCAATGGTATAGTGTGTTTACATACAATTTAATCAAAGTATTGTTTCCCACATCTTTCTATATCCAGACTGGGTACAATAAACAAACACACAGGCATTACACACACTGTACAAACAAGCTTTCTGTTGCATGTGGCACACTCTGTTTTACATTTTAGTTGCTTTATGTCACATTTAGATAATTTTGCTTCACATTTAGGTCCTTTTGCATCTCTTGTGGCTATTTTTTTGTCACATTTTGTGTCGCTTTTTAGTCATTTTGTGTATAATTGTTGCCATTTTGTCTGTCTGTTGTCATTTTGTTTCATTTTTTGGTTATTTTATGTCACATTTTGCTCCTTTTGCATTGCTGCATTCTGTTTCTCATTTTGTGTCGCTTTTTAGTCGGTTAGTATTTTTTTTCATTTTGTCTCTTTGTGGTCATTTTGTTTCACGCTGTGGTTGTTATGCGTCACATTTGACTCATTTTGTATGACTTTTTAGTTGTTTTATTATTATTATCTTCAGTTTTGTCCTCCACGTCTAAGTAACAAAACAACAACAGCAACAACAAAAAGTGGGTAATCAATATATAGTATGATGATGATTATTTCAGTGACTGGATTTGTTAAAATACTCCCCAGTGAGGCAGGATTTACACATATAAATTGCATTGCGGCTGCTATATTGCGTGACGGTGGTCGTATTTGACATTTGAGAGAAGTTTTGCTTTGCATAAACGCGATTTAACACCTGCACTGCTGCTTTAAAAGCTGAACAAGCAAGTAAAGTTGTGGTTTGAGCTCTTTAACAAACTTTGTAAAAGTCTTGCATCAAGTAAACTTGAACTGCCTCTTTATTCTGACTGTCTGGTTGTTGTGATTTCGGATCTGTCAGTCTCTGAGCTGTGATCCTCCACAAATATCCATGTGCTTATCCATCCAGTAATGCAGGCATCTGGTCATGCTTAAGCTTGTAGACGATTGTGGGCTGACGTCGGGCAAGAGACCAGTACAGCGATCAGGTTACCAGTCCATCACAGAGCAACCACAAACAACCGTGCACGGCTATTTAGAATCACCAGTTAACCCACTGTGCATGTCTGTGGACGGTGGGAGAAAAGAAACCCACACAGGTACGAGTAGAACATGCAAACTCCACACAGACTGGCAGGTTCAAACCTTTTTGAATTCCCAGCAAATGTACTCAATAGTTTTATACCAACACCATGAAATGCACTTATAAAGTATCTCTGACAGTATAAATATAATGTAAAGGCCTAATGTAGTGTTTTGTGATATGCAATATTGTTCAGGGTCACTATTTTGTTCGTTGTCATGGTGTAGCTCCTGGAATTCTGTGTTAGTCATCATGCGATTAACTGAGATTATCAACTGATCTTTTCACATTCTGTGAACGTGAAAGATTCCTTTTCTATGAACTTTGCAAAGCACATTTGTACAACTTAATGCAGGCAACAGGATAAATCATTTTTGTTTTTCCTTTTTAGTAGTCTTGTGATTCACTTCCCTCCGTGTGATAGTCAGGAGGATGACTGTACACTTTGCGTATTGTGTTTGTACTTTTGTGTAAACCTGAATGTTTAACATATCACTTCGATCCCTATTTCTTTAAAAAAAGAAGCTGTGTGTGTGTTACTCAAGGAATTCTGACAGTCAGGGTGAGGCGATGCATTAAGTATAGAAATACAAGTGTGTGCATGTACAAGTGCTGCAACAAAAATCAAAGAAAATAATCACAAATCCAGTATCTAAAATTATTAGAATATTTCCTAAGGGCAATAAAAAAAAAAAAAGGGTTTACAATCTAAAAACGTCTCACAGTTATGTCCATTTATACACTCAGTGCTTGGTTGGGGCTCCTTTACCATCAATTCTGCATCAATGCAGCCTTTAAAACAAAGAAGAGGCTTTAAATATTTAACTTTATGTGTAATTAATATAAAACACATGAAAATTTACCTACTTGGAATAAATTACAACATTTTTTTACTTAATCTAATCTTTTGAGATGCACCTGTATGTGACTGAAGGTCTGATTCAAACACTCACCGACAGCGTCAGCGCCCAGTCGATGCAGCATGCGACACTCTGCGATGGTTTCGAAGGAGGGACCTCCGAGCACGCAGTAAACTCCCTCCTGCAGGAAGTCGCTGAAGCCCAGCTCTGATGCCACGTCATGTGCCAGCTGCCGGAGCTTGCGGTCGTAGGCGTCAGACATGCAGGGAAAGCGGACGCCAAACCTGAGGGTTGGAGGAGAGTTTTGACTCAAGATCTGCCAACGGAAGGATTCTGCACAACTCCTGCCTAATGCTGAGCACTGAAATTCCCCCCAAATGACTCATAGGACACTGAGTCTTTGAGGTTTTGTGATGTGGCAGCGAGAACGTGAAAACCCTCATGTACCAGCCATCGTGATGCTTCATGCTGAGAAACAGGGGAAACCAGCATTGCATAGTGTCAGACAGTATATTAGACATCCAGATTTGATGCAGGCTGAGTGACAACACCTGTGTGGAAAATTAGTCAAATAAATAGTTCATCACCTAAAGGATGCAAAATTCCCGCGCCCCCCCCAAAAACGCAGAATTGTCTGCTATTAAACTCTGCGATGACATAAAGCTCCACTCTGAAGCGAGCAGATATTGAGTGTCATGTAAAGCCTGCAGCCATCGGAAACAAAAGGCGAGTTTGTTGACACTGACATCAGATGCTTATTGTTGCTGCGGGGCTGAACAGAGGCAGTTCTGTGTAGGAGACTGCAAAAATGCACATAAATTACTGGAAGAAATGAGGCGGAGGGGGAAACTTGGAACGGTGACAATGTCAGCATCACTTACTTGCAATATTTAGAAAATGACTTCATTGCATTGAGTTCATTACAAATATTCTGCAATTTTGGAATCTTTAGGAAAATAACTATTATTTGAAATAAACTATTTGCAAATTATGTTACTCCACAGCAGGATTTCTAACACTCGAAACGAACATTTATGTAAAAGGACGACTTTGCTTCTTGGTTAAATTTAAACAGGGGACACTTTTTGTCGTCTCTGCCCTCTAATGCTTATTTTTAGAGCAAAGTGTTATCGTGGAGCACCGGAGTGAGACATGTACTGAGGACGTGCTAATGACTGCCGTGTGGGTGTTGTGAATAAATAAAGGATTAAAGAAAGCTGCATTAATTCAAGACTTTAAAGTCGGAAAGAAAAATCCCCTTTTAGGCTCATTTGTTGCTCCTGTGGGTGTATTAAACACAGACTGATCCAGGAGTGACTCTGTCCCCTCACCACACATTAAGACAGTCTGAAGTCACATATTGGGGGGAAAACAAAACTAAAACGCTGCTCTCAGTAACGGTTTCCACTCTTCTTTCCCTCCACCTACCTGTCATCGTTGGGTCCAGACAGCGGATTGACTCCAGCAAATCCCGGCATGTTGATGTGGTCCTTGATGATCATGACGTCCCCGACTTTGTAGTCCTGGTTGAGGCCTCCGGCTGCGTTGGTCAGGATCATCGTCTCCACACCCATCAGCTTGAAGACACGCATGGGCAGCGTGATCTGGAATATAAGTGAATATAAAACACATGCAGGCATTAAAATTAAGATTTCGGGAAATTGAAATTCAAAATGGAAATTTCCATGTTGAATAATCTGACTGAAGTTGTTTCCACATTACCTCTGCCGACCGTGTCTAGACACTGCTTGAATTCATAAATACTTCCGGCAGATATTCGACTTAACATTTTAAAGGTGCCCAAATCACAAAAGGCCATATTTTCTTAATCCCCTCTAGTCATGCAATCAATGTCTGGAATCTGACATTTACATTTCAAACTTCTAGCAGCTGTGTGTGTTGACAAAACTCTCCGATCGATGTTTCCATGAAAAGATCTTCCATTAAAGAACCCGTCCTACTGAGAACTGTGCACAGGATAAACATTGTGTTACCGCACAATGTTGGCAGAAAGACACGTTGCCGTTGAGCTTTTCCAAATGTTATTTTCAATGTTTCCAGGAGCGCAAACAAAATCTCATTCAGTCATTTTATTCTAGGGTGGTGGGAAATGTCTTCGTGGCAAATATCTCAAACCCTTGCCATATAAAGCTATCTGCACGAGTCGGTGCCACTGAGATGACGAAAGCCTTCATTGTGTTTATGATATTTTTTGTTATTTGAATGATAATTTAAAGCTACAGCAGCCTACAAAGCTTTTAAAATCCCAGAATTACTGTGCTGCTCACATGCACAGATTACACAACTGATCTCAGGTGGAGTCTACTGACCACAGATTGTTTTGATTGTTTGCACGCTGCCTCCCTCCTTCCCTGCCTCTGGTTTCTTATTCGCTGATTGGATGCAGCACAATGACCACCTCATACCGATCTCCAAGGTGCCTCATTTCAAGTGCATCTTGTGTTTGGTAATGATTGAATAAAACATGTTTGCAATATCTGAGACACGTCTCAGGATTGAATTAGCAACGCTCTGTGGATTGTGAAGATTCTGTGCAGACTTGAATACTGCCTCAGATCTCAAGAAGTGCTCAGAGACAAACAGCAAACTGTCAATACGTGTAGTCTGTATGAGCCTTTAAAGTGCCCATGTCTTGAAAATTTAGAGGTTTCCATTTTCGTATGTTGCTTAAATGATGCTTAAACGTTGTGTTTTTCTCATGCTGCACATTGTTGCAGTACTTCTTCTCACTTTCTGTCCAAGATACTTCATTTTAGCTCTTGTCCCTTTAAGGCCCACCTTTGAAAAGCCCAGTCTGCTCTGATTGGTCAGCAGGCCATCGAAAAGTAAGACAATGTTGGTTGTGTACTCCAACACCAGATCTCTCGGTATAGGGATCCAAACTAACCGCTAATGCGTTCCGTAGTGATGCAAATTTTAAGCAACCTTCTTAACTGATAATCTGCAGCTTTATCAAAGATTGATCATTAACTCAGTGGTTGTAATTGCTGCTTTAGTGGTAGATTGATGACGACTGGTCCTTTATGCTGCTGCAGTGTTTTGTCCAGTAAGCTTTAAGCATCACAGAAGACTTTGTCATGGTGACACTTTACGAGTTAAACTCCATCAATGTTCTTTGCTGGCCAACATGGAACTGCTGGTAGTCCGCCTCCTCTGTTTACAACAGGGGTGTCGAATCCTGGTCCTCGAGGGCCGCAATCCTGCATGTTTTAGATGTTTCCTTCTTCCAACACACCTGATTAAAATGATCAGGATCGTTATCAGGCTTCTGCAGAGCTTGATGATGAGCTCATCATTTGAATCAGGTGTGTTGGAAGAAGGGAAACATCTAAAACTTGCAGGATTGCGGCCCTCGAGGACCAGAGTTCGACACCCCTGGTTTACGACAATGTGAAACAGTGAGAGGCTCCAACTGGTGGTGACATGATTGTCCCACTTATTCCACCTTCTTGGTTCATATATTTTTAATTGGGCACATTTTTTAACAGCAATTAATTGATAATCATTAACCCTGGTAGATAAATAACAGAAGAAAAGCCTGAACATTAAACAAGGTGGCGTCGGGCAGGTAAGGAGCAGTGTGTTTTTGTTGGTAAGCGCTTTGGTCTTTCTAAGATTTCCTTCTATGTGTCCCCAAAAAATCCCCAAAAATCAGCATATCGGCTGTTTGAACTCCACCAACCAGCGGAGGTTCCATCTTTACTCACCTTCTGGATGGGGTAGCCTTCATACAGGTGGAACCTGCCCTGCATGCAAACACAGGGCTTCCCTTTTAGTGTTCCAAACACCAGCCGGCCAGCATGACCGTGCACTGCAACACACACACACACACACACACACTGTTACACAACCAGTGCATTTAATCAAAGCCTGCAAACATGCACAAGCACATTGGCTGCTGTGATTTTTCAAACAGCTGCATGCTGTGCATACCTGTGCTCCGAGGGAAGTTGGGAATGTCACTGTATTTGAAGACCTGCGGCTCCTTGAGCATCTGGGCGAGTCCTCCCATTCCTGAACCGCACACGATTCCCACAGTGGGTCGGACCTGAGTGTTGGACAGCAGCCAGTCCGCTGTGGCCCGGCACTGCTCATAGCTGTCACTGAGAGAGTGAAAAAATCAACATGAAACAGGATTGTACTCACATACACTGTAAAAAAAAAAAGATGTATTGACAGTTTTTTGCTTTATTTTATTTTATTTTATTTTTTAAACAATTTAGTTTTATTTTACAGGTTTTCTCTGTTTTGTTAAAATACAGTTAAAAACTAGTAAAATCATAAAAAAGCAACTTTGCTTCATATTAATAAAACCAAAACTGTAAATAACGTTCATATTAAGAAGATGTATTTTCACAAATGGTAATTTGTTCTTGGACAACATTTGAACATGAAAGAAAAATATGTATATTAAGGACTGAAAAATGAATAAATAACATCCATAAACAGTTTTTTCTGTTTTGTTAAATTACAGATATCTAGTAAAATGACAGCAGAGAAAGCCGTTTTAAAAAAGCCAAAACTATAAATAATGTCTGTATCATAAACCTTTTGTTTTTGTTACATATAAATGCCATTGATGTGTGATATAAAATGAAATATATTAGGAACTGATAATTTATATCATGAATAACATGTAGAACTGTTGCTTCATAAATGTTCTCTGTTCTGTGAAAGTGCAGATAATATCCAGTAAAATCACAGGAATAAGGTTTTAATTTACATGTTGAATGTAAAAACAACCAAACAACCAAACAAACAGGCCAAAACTGTGAAATCTGTATTTTGAACATTACAGTTTGTTTTTAGGTTTTTATTTTTTGTCCATTTTCTGAATCCCACATTTTTACAGTTTCAGGATTTATTTATTTATTTTATTTATTTCAATTTTTTATTAAATTATTCATTAATTACAGCGTAAGACCTTTTGGCACTATGAGCGGGTAACGGTACAAAACCTTCGTGAGGGCACCAAACAAAGCCGTTGGCCTCCGCCCTGTGAATTAATTCATCCGAAAAGCATCAGATGAGTTCCTGCTCTTTTTATTTCTTAGCGCGATGTTTGTGCACAGTCATGCTGCTGCATTCACAAAAGACGGAACAACCAGCAGTATCTGATAAATGAACATCCTGTACGCTCACTGAACTGAAATGTACTTCCTGACTTTCAGCAGTGTTTACATTTATGCACAAGTACAAACACGCGTTGTTTCCTGTTCGTTTTGTCTGGAGTTAAAAAGTTGAGTTGCATAATTTTGCAAATGGTGCGTCATGTTCAGGTGATTCATCACAAAACCGTAACACACTTCAAACTATCTAGTATTTCTCAAACGTAGCTATGCACATGTTTATATTTAGTTTTAAATCACTGTACTTGTGAGGATTGAACTCTCACACTAACTGTCCGTTTGTGTTTGTTTCTGTCTCTAATGTCGACCTTCAGCACCACATGTCCAACCTTTATGCATTACAGTGATACTTTTATTCATCTCCAGACATAAAACTGGCTTGTTTGCAAAAGAAAATCACAACTGCAGCTACAAAATAGCAAAACAAGCAGGACACAAGTCAGACAAATCCACTGAAATAGCAAATACAAGTAGTGCTTCCACCACATAAGGCACAAATTAACTGAGTTTTATGAACACATTAATTGTATTTATACTTAATGGCTTCATATTGTTCATTCTGCTAAATACTGTATGATACTGTATACACCCATACTGCATATAAATTACTTAGATATCTTGGATACTCGTATATCTGACACACTTGCAAGTACAGTTTATACTACTTCTAATATATGTATACATATATAAGCACATTCAAAATGCCTTTATGGCTATTTCACGTTCCATATTTTCCTTTGTCTAAATGTAATTACAATGTCAAGCTGCACTTTCACTGCTGACGAGATGCTAAACTGGATTTTGTTGTTTTGTTGTTCCAGTCTAATCCAAACTATCGACACAGTTTAGGAATCTGCCAAAGCACTAAGCTACAAACCTGGTTATAAGTTAGTGTTTCATCTGGAATAATACCAATATAAGAGGTATTGCATTTATACCTCAGTATGAAAACTAATGTTGACACCTTGTCAATGCCAAAGATACGTTCAGTTTCAAAGAAGACATAAAATATTGTTTGAGCTCTTCTTTGTCTTTCCTCTGAACATCTCGTTCTCCTCAAACCAGAGATCCTAGAACCAACATGAGCCTTCAACAGCTTCTTTCAACGCATTCAACACTAGAAACAAGAATGGATTCTTACACTGGAGTTCAGTTTAAGAGCACATATGAACAGGATGTGTGCTATGTATGTAAAACAGTGGGCTGGATCGGCTACTGTCGCCTCACAGCCAGAAGAATTTGACCTCATTCTGGTCTCTTTCTATGTTTCCTCTTTGCCTGTACAGGTTTTAATCATTCTTCCCGTACAGGTGTGTTCCTGTACTTCCCCCTAAATCAGCTGAGAAAATCTCCACTTCCCTGTGAGCCTCTATGGATAAAACAGTGTGTAGAAAATGGATGGATGGATACAAAACAGGGTCCAACACTGGGAAATTGAGCAGGAACCACTTCAAGTTCATACTGTTTTAAACTGTGCTTTAGTAGTTAAAAAACTCCAACTAATGATCGTTTTGTAATCAAATTACCACAAAGTATTTGCCACAATTTGTAGCTTCTTCAGTGATGCAACACTGTGTTAAACTCTTCATGTGCAATAACACACTAACGCTGGACTTTCCCTCTATGACAAGTGCAATAAGTCAATAAGTAATAACTGGTTAAATTTAAGTATAATTCTACTGTGTCCTACAGCTGGGTACGTTACTCTTTATTATATCTTTATTTTTTATCCTCAGTTGTGCTTTTCTTCTAGTGTTTCTTACTTTACTTTATTTGTGTCTGGCTGCTGTATTTCCAACAACCCTGAGACTTTGGGGTTTAATCTAGTCCTGCCAAACCTTAAATAAAACATTTAACCCTAAAACAAAATCATATTCTGACTGTAGACAGGCTCACAAGAGGTGAGCTGCTCTCTTATTTGGAAAATATATTCAATCTGAGCAGCTGGAGACTCCTTTTAGGTAATATTTTAATACATCTTGTATTTAAAAGTCAAAGAAAAAGAAGCAGTAAAGTAACTGTGGTGCATCAAGAAACTTAAAAGATTGTTTCATGCTCTTCCCTGCAACAAGAAGAAAGTATTTTGAGCTGCATTTATAGATAATTTTTATTTTATTTTTAAAATTCTTGCCTTTTTAGTGTCTAGTAATGTTTTTTTTTTTTTCTCACTCCTTTTCCTTTTCCTCAGACTCTTTCAACCAACTCTGCGCATTTTACGCGGTGATGGAAACCCTCACCGGCCGCCAGCTGTGGCTGATTCACGGACACCTAACTTTGTGCCACATGTGGCCAGATGAAGAAACACAGGAGGTCTCAGTCCGCGGAGCGTAAATCAGCTTCCTGAGCCGCTGATAGGTTAGTGGGTTTTTCTTGACGTCACGTTCTTTTTTTTTTTTTTTTTTTTAATTCCGTCCCATCAGTGACCACATCGTGTGATTTTCCGCGCCTTATTGCGTTGTTACAAGATTGCAGTAGAAGACTTTTTTAACCCCTAAATAGAACAGTTGTGTTTTTTTTTACTCTGTTTTTATCCTGTGGGATGGAAAAAGAGAAACACAATGAATGGCGTTACGCATGGCGTTACGCGTGCCATTACGCGCGCTTCTCAAGCTGTTTTTAATTAGGATCTGTGTCATTTAACAAGCCTCTGTCTACTTTTCCCTGCGGATGGGGGATACAGGAGCTTCATTCATGAGCGTTTCACCAGAGTAACACCGCCTCCACACGTAATATGAGCGAACCTGACAGTAACCCCAACAGCCAACATCACTGGAAACGTGCATTTGATGCTACATCACAAGCAGATAAAATCAAACATGTAGCGTCACAAAGCAGGTTTTGGTCTCATACAGATGTTTGTTGTAGCCTATAATAAGAATATTACGGTAAAAACTCACCTGGAGGCAAACTCGGACATGGAGAGCATGATGAGATGTGATGCGGCAGGTTGTTCCGTGTTTCAGGTCTGTGAACGTGATCCGGGTTTCCTGACGGAGGGGCCGGTTTTAGGTTTTTACCCTCCCACCCCTCCACGACGCTGCGGACATTTCCACTGTACGTCACAACCCAGCGGAGCCTCTGATTGGCCGCAGCGCAGGCGTTGTTCTGCTGTGATGCACCGGCGGTGGTTCCAGTGACTCGTGGTGCGTTCAGGAGCCACCTGTAAAAAAAGAGGAAGCAACGTGTCTGACTGGAAATTCTGACAATAAACACGAGGCAGGTTTTTCTTTTTTCTTTTTGAAGCAGCCTCAGGATGTATTTTTCTTTTGATCTGAACTGCTGAGATTTAAGACGTAACTTTACCCACAGTGTGTGTGATATGTGGTTGGAATTTTGTTTAACTCAATAAATTATGATGTAATTTGGCAGCAAGGGTGCCATAAAACACGTGGTTAAACAGTAAAATACCATAAAGCTTACAAACTGTGCATACAAATGGTAAAAATATCTGCCACACATTGAATACAGATTTGTGACGGGGACACTGAGTACCGGTTTGGACTGTTCAGCGTTACTAGTTACTAAAATATCATTAATCTGATTTTACTGTGATTTTCCTATTTATTATGTGCCATTTCACAAAACAAGGAAAATCTGAAAACTGCCAGTACAACAAACCTTTAATATAGCAAACATTTGATTTATATACTGTCGAAAAACAAACAAACGACAACAAAAATGATATACTTTTACAGCTAAAAGTTAATGTAAACACGTAGTATGTGTGCTGGATACCCACATTACCCCAGAGAGAAGAATAAAGTATCTATCTATCTATCTATCTATCTATCTATCTATCTATCTATCTATCTATCTATCTATCTATCTATCTATCTATCTATCTATGAGATGTAGTTTAATATAACTAATTAATTCAAATATACCAACATACTGTATCAACAAATATACAGTGCAATTGAGATTAAATTCAAAATTTTAAGTTATTTAAATGTCACATAAGCAAAACATCCCATTTATCAAGTCATTCTCAAAGAGACGATTATTATTTGAAATCAGAGTGACTTTGTGTGGGAGGCAGAAAGTGGACAAAATGTTCCTCTTCAGATATTGTCACATGTTTTAGAACCTTTGTACCAACATTTATAACTATAATTCTGACTGAAACCTACTTTGCAGCAGTTTATTTCACATTAAGAGTGAATTTATTAAACTGAAAATACACTAAATTGTTATTTAGCCATTGTGGCCATCATAGCCCAAATGTTCACATCGTAGATTTTCCAACAGGACTTGAACGCAGCAGCAAACCACACAAATCTTCCAACGTGGTCCTGTTGGCTTTGGTGCTGATGCAATCACCGGGCACCCGACATAAAAGACCATGTATTACAAGATATAGAGCAGATCTTAGCGAGCTTCTCTGGTGATTATTTATTAAATATGAGAAAATGTGAATTCTTAGAAAGCATGTCATGTCCTGATATTAACAAAGCTCACTCACACTTCCAAATATCAGTTTCATATCAATATATATATGTTTTAATAAGAGCAGTTGTGCAAACCAGCACTGCACATTCATGACAGACACAACTGACACAACAAATGATCAGTTTGTCCCATTCACATCTGTTTTTGAAATCGTCCATTTCTGTCTGCCTGGAGGCTGCTGCTATTACCTAGAAGGAAAAACATGCAACAGCAAAATGTAGGGCGGCAGGTGTTGAGGTCGTAATCACAGCAGGGCAAAGTGTAGTTTTTGACATCAGGTTTTTAAATAGCTTGTGGCGCCATACAAAAGTGTGGAGCAGCCACTGTGAAAGTGTATTTAAGACAGCATCAAGGAAGCCAAGAAGACATCAAGCAGCTTCCCTGCAGCGGCAGCAGAAATGTAATTATTACACCTTACATCACCAAAGTGCCGAATGGAAACGATTGCCATTTATAAAATTTAACCGTGAAAAAAAAAATATTTACCACTTTTCGATCCTGAAATCCTGAAAATTTCTCTTACAAATAACAGCAAATATCTCTAAAATAATTTTTTGTTTAGCTTTTAGCTGATTCAAATACAGTAAGCCGCACATTTTGAAAGAAAAGGAGAAGAAGAAAGAAAAGTATTTGTAAAAATACTGACTTTTGATGTAAACATGATACACAAATTTGGCCTTTTTTTTTTTTTTTTTTAAATATAATCAACGTTTGTGTGAATGCTTTTTTTTTAAAAAAAATCAATTGTTTTAATAGATTTTTTGGTAATTTCCAAACAGGGAAAATTGGTAAAATTACAGTTCTAAACAGAATTTATCATTTATTCATCCTCAATATACATTTTTTTTTTTTAAGTAACAGCTACTATCTGTAAAATAAAAACTTTTAAAAACTTGATTTTAATACAGTAAAAACATTGTAGGTTCACAGTCTCACTTTGTAAAAGAACTAATCAGCATTTGTAAAAATAGAGACTTTTGATGTGAACATCATACGCAGTTCTGGGCTTTTCTTAAATAATCAAATTGTAATTGACTTTTTTTTGTTGTTGTTGTTTTTACAGCTTGTGGGTTCATCAGAATGAAGAGGAAGAGACAATTGCTCATTAGATTTAGCCAGTTTTTGTCCGGGGAGTTACTACAAACATCAGGGTTGATCTTCTGGAGATCATAAATGTTCACTGCACATTTCAGCAGCTGGAACTGTTCAAGCTCCTATAAAGTCACTGAAGTGTCGATCAAATGGAAACGATGACCTGATGGTAGCGATAATGAAACGGAAAAAGGTTCTGTAGAAGTACTCAGAATCATCCTTCAGATACAAACTGAACAGCAGTCTGGGCTGCGTCTGCTTGTGTGGACAAATAATTCATTTATATGGACGAACATGCATTAATTTCTGAGTGTAGAAGTGCACCTATGAGCACAGATGTTGTTCTTCCGTGTGCAAACACTCCTGTGTGTGTGTGTGTTGTTTTAGCAGCACAGAGCTCCAGTGTTCTGGTTACCGACTGTTATGTAACTGCTGATTTGTATTCACATAGTTGTCGGGCCTTTATCAAAAGCTTCAGCTCTCACTCTGCAAACTAATTACAAAAGTGACACTAGTGCAAGAATTTCGCATCAGTGTTGTTTCGTTGCAAGTTAGGGGCCATTTTTTACACGACTTTTAGATGCAGGAGTTGTTTAGAAATGTTTGCCTGAGGTGCACCTCATGCTGCACACACAGGATTAAAGGATAAAACTGAGCATGTCTTTTTAAGCTTGGCCTTTATACGCAAAGCTTAGTTGCAGTTATGTCTTACTTTCTTTCCTGTCCTGTTCACTTTACTGCTCTGTGATCTATCAAATGTGAACGTTGCAGGTTTGTGCTATTTCTTGTCATTTCTGAGGCTCAAACTACCCAAAGACTCATGTTTCTTGCTTCAGGTACAGTTTGTCCTCATTGTGTCTTTGATGAAATGCAACGCCTCTCATGTAACTTAAGTTTCTTAACAACAAAACAAACTGGGTCATTTTTTGTGTGTGTTTGAACACCTGATGCTCTGATTACAGACCAGTGCACTGAGCTTTGAAGCCTCTTGGCTGCAGAATTGGAGGATTTGGTTGGTTAGTTTGCTGATCAGCCTCTCAGGCCCATTACTATCATCCAGATTTAAACATCTCAACAAGTTTTGAAGAGATCCATCCATCCATTATCCATACACCACTTAATCCTCACTAGGGTCATGGGGGGCTGGAGTCTATCCCAGCCAACTCAGGGCGAAGGCAGGGGACACCCTGGACAGGTCACCAGTCTATCACAGGACTACACTTAGAGACAGACAACCAAGCACACTCACATTCACACCTACGGACAATTTAGAATCACCAATTAACCTCAACATGTGTTTGGACCGTGTGGGAGGAAGGCGGAGAACCCGGAGAGAACCCACGCTGCACGGGGAGAACATGCAAACTCCACGCAGAAAGATTCCGGTGCCCCCACCGGGACGCGAACCAGCGACCTTCTTGCTGCTGTGAGGCAACAGTGCTACCAACTGCGCCACCCTGCAGCCCGTTTTGAAGAGATTATAATGGAATTTGCTGCCAGTGTTCATGGTCCTCTGTGGAAGATTCATCAAAGCAGGTTCAAAATTCTGCTGCTGTGATACGAGTGTGAAGCTTGTACACAGTGTAAAAATTTGAGGAATCTTAGAGAGAACTTAAAAGAAATTATTTTATGTTACAGATTTTTTGGGGGGATTTTCTCAGCAGTTGATTAAAAAAAACAGCAATATAACATGTTTAGGAGTATTACTGAAAGACAAAGTTAAATATCCTTGCAGCCTTAAACTGGTGAATTTAGGTCAGCGGTTGCCCAAGGCGCTACTGTGTTTCTATGCTGCATATCAAGTCAGGCATCCTCACCAGCAACGCCCTGAGCCTCTCCGACCTCAAATGTTCTCTAACAGGTGACATGGTGACAGATCTGCTGCTGGGATCTGGATATCGTTCACTCTAAACGAGCGGCAAAGCATGACTTCAAGGAACAAGCGTCTTAGTGCAGGTGTTTGGATATCTGGCTCTCGTTTTGGGTGCATATTGTGCAATTAGTGACAAAAGTCAAAGGTTTAATTTAGCAGTCAGGAAAACACTTGCACAGGCTACCTTCTTAAGTTTTTAGACTGTAGTGACATTATTTACATGCTGCTTCTACTCTGTGCTGCTAAAAGTAGTTTTCTCTGTTTTATATCCAACTCACTGTCCAGCACACGTCACTGTACACTTGGTAATCTGGTTTAATTAAGCCTGAGGTGGCAGCAGCACTGGTATGCCTTCATTTACAGAACAGTGCTGGGTAAACGGTGTAATTTTCTATCATTTACCAACACTGTCACTCTAAAGCGCTGCAATTACAGAACACCCAGGATCTGCTGCGAACACGATCGAACAGGCTTCTCCTGTTTTGCATTCTGGTTCTGGAATAACAATTAAATAAACAAACTGCGGTTTTGTGAGAGTTCAAAGCTCTGTTCAAAAGGTGTGTGACTAAACTCCTAAACTGGATTTATTTTTTTTTGTGTCGTACCTGTTTAGGTAAATTACAACTGTAATACAGTGAAATTACAGTAATTTAATGGTGACCACAGCTGCCAGCATTTTGGTAATTTACTATAATTGATGTTAAGTTACTGTAATTTCACAGGAAT